CACATTTCCACTGTTTGAACATTGATTCTTTGTTATTATGCTCTTGAATCGAAAGGAATTAATACACATATAAATCTTAAAACTGGATTTGTTGGATCTTGTCTCTTTTACGTAGCAACACAACTGTCACATGAGCAATTTTTTTTGCACAATATGCACAACATTGGCAACCTGGTAAATTTTTCGCAATATCACGATTGTTGTAATACAATGTAGCATTCGCAGTTTGTCCTCGTCTACCAGCACGTCCAATCTCCTGTAAGTACTGTGAAACATTCCTAGGTGGGGAAGCATGAATCACTTGAGTTACATTGTTTGGGTCAAATCCCATCCCCGATATTGATGTTGTCAAGACCAGTCTTATGTTTGGAGTCTCTTTTTTCAATTCCTCTATTGTAGTTGCTACAACATGCTCATCTTGCCCTGATCAAATTGCACTATAGAGTGATTAGTGAATGTTTGAAGGACCAAACAGACTATTAAGGTACATCATTGCTTCACTCATGTAGTAAATAGGGATAAATAGCAATGTTACAGGAAAATCTTCCCTCTTTTCAAAAAGGTCATCACACACTTTGTGCACCATTTTTTCATACTCATTCAACACATCAATACCAGGTTCCTTCTTGAACTTGTGCAAGAACATATTGGGTCTGTCTGGTGTATGTTCGATTATTTTAAAGTTATCGAGACCTAGCTTTTTTGGGATTGTCTTCTTTTGTTCTGCCGTCAAAGTGCCACTTAATCCTATCAGTGGCACATTTGGGAAGAATGATTTTAATCCTCTCAGTTTCTTGAAAGCTGTGCGGAACTCTTCACCCCTAAAACAAGATGTTTTCAGTGAAGTGTAAGTAACCCTTAAATAAGCTTACAGCCTTCAGCCTAAGTTTGTGAATATACCTGAACTAATATAAGATATTGCAATTATTGAACGAGGACTGAATTACGGAAGGACAGACAGATGGACTGCAGCTCATCTAAATGCTAGACTATAGGCAACCAGATCTTTAAAAAAACATTCAACATTTTCATATTCCATTCTTAGGTTCATGCTTCCTGGTCCCCCTACATACATATACATGCATGCCTGATTTTTCAGACATAAATATACAAAGTATGTAGTATTATCTGCTTGCAGCAGGGGTATCATTGGATGCCAGCCAACTCATTGTTGCCAGGATTTGAACACATGACACTGGAATGTCTAGCATACATGCTAGTGATATTTGTCAGTTTTTGTTTCACAAAATATAAAATGTACATATTATTCTTGATATACAGAGGACAATGACAATGAAGATCATATTGATGGTATACAAATTTGTCTTAAAAATACTGTATAACCTACTAACCATTTATCAATAATGTGGCATTCATCTACAACGACTGCTACAACTGATGATGTAAATTTCTCATCTGACATTAGATCTTTACCAATAGACGTATTGAAAAGAGCCACTGGGTGGCACAGAACTATTGAATATTCATCATTCTTTACTTTTTCGAGTGGAACGTCGCAATGTGCTGCACAGTCAGATTCGGCAACATCTCTTGTGTCATCCACTTTAGCCACAATATTCAATCTACAGGCACTGATTCTCCTAGACCTCAGACTTTGTACTTGGTCTTTTTGGATAATATTCAGAGGAGATATAACCAACACCACAGGATATGTCTTCGGCTTCTGACTGGGGGGTGGGTGCTCGCAAAGAATTGTGGCAAACGAAGAAAAATTACACTTTTCCCATAGCCGACAGGTAAACTAACAAGTAAATCACCTCTACTCTCCAAAAAATACTCAAAACATTCCTTTTGTTTCTCTTTTAGCCTTCGTGTCTTGTCGTAACTTGCCAGAATTTCCTCTATTCTATTCATTTTCAAAGCTAATGTTACGGTCCTTGCATCTCTGAGCTAAATAACCACATTTATATAACTACGCTGAACATTACGCTTAAAAATATAGTGCAGTAATATATTCACGCCTTACTACTTGTTAAAAGTCGTTTCAAAAGTGATATAGCCAAGAAAATATTTCAACATAAAAACAAAAGACGCTTAAGATAAAATTATCACGATTTGAGACTAAATTAGGTTTTACAAGAATCTTGTAAAATCTAAGACGTTGACAGAGGTGTGTGTGATTGATAAGGAACGACAACTCTGGGTAGAGAAGTTTCCTTCTCAAAAGGTGTCAGAGACACTTCTCGACCACTTGATCTCTGATCAACATGGTCATCGTTGTATGTAAATTCGCAGTACTCTACCCTCTGTCGTAAACGTGTAATAAACTGATCTATCGTTTCTCCCGATTGTTGAGTCACGTTTCTGAATAAATGTCTCTCGAATGGGATGTTCACTTGTGGGCTGAAATATTCTCCAAGCACTCGAATCGCAACAGAATAAACAGTTTCATCTCCGGTAGGTTCTGGCACCGTAAGTGTGTAGAAAATGTCCTGCATAGGTATTCCACCACAATGTAGAAGAAGAGCTTTCTTTTGACCACTACTTGTCACTCCTTTTCCTTTAACAAAAAGTTCGAAGGTTTATTTCCTTTTGTTATTTGTGAGACTGTCGACTGACGTTGCTAAATGTTACAGAAAGTTGTACACATTTCTGTTGGCACGCTCTCATAAAACTCTTTTGTAAAATGATTGTCTTTGTATTTTGACTATTATTTGTCACTCCTTTTCCTTCAACAAAAAGTTTGAAGGCTCTGCGCCATTTTTTCCAACTTGGGCAAATATTTGTTTGGTCACCGTGACAGTCAAATGCAGCAATTCCACCTAAATCTGTCGTTATAGATGTCGCCAGTTTCAACTATGATCTTTCTAGATCACGTTAGACACTAACGATGTTAAACATCTCGTCGCCAATTGTAGGATTGTCCTCGGATTCAACCGTTCATATTGAACACAACTAACAACTCAGTAATTGCCGCTTCACATATCGTTTATTCACTAGTGCGCATGCTCAATACATATAAGTGATATTATGTCACAGATCAATATGCACAGGGGCTTGATATTATTATATAACAATAATAAAACACTACAATTGCAGCTGTAGAAAGAGTTACTTTACCAGTTGTATGAATTATATTACAAAGATATTTGTGGCTACTGTACAACTGTATACAATTTGTATAAGTTCAGATGACATTACTATCAGTACAGCTTACCCGATGTATACACTTGTTTGAGCTACATGTGTAAATGTTAAATTCTGATGAAGAACAAAAAGTTCTTATTTTATTATTTATTATTTTACACCTAACGAATGTTTCGGCCTTTATGAGAGCAATGGGGTCCACTAAGTGGCCGCTGCTTTGACTTCAGTACGAACAAGGAGTCTGACTTGGATAACAAGCTTTTATATTTACATTTGCGCTGCAACAACCTACAATTTGAACATTACCAGCAGTGTTTCATTTGAGTATGAAAGCAAAAACTCTCGTAACGTAACATGTGGTTTACTTATGCCGTCATAGATTAACCTTGTTCAATGAGAGTCTTGTCGCTTCGCTTCTTATAACATGGATAAATGCCCCTACGTCAAACGCTCAAATGACTACGGTTAATTATTGGCGAAATTTTTATTCAAAAGGGCTGTTCCGCCAATATCGTTTAAAGGACGACGCATATACAAAACGCAGTAAATATATCAATAGATAATTAAGATGAAACAACTGTTCTATAGTAAAGATGTAAATTATGGGTTGAACGGCCTTTTTTAAATTTTCATGCCGGTATGAACGCAAATTGATTACATCCCTATTAAACATGAAGCCCTATCGGGCCTCATGCAATATGGATGTAATCGATTTGCTTTCATACTGGCATGAACATTTAAAAAACGCCGTTCAATCCCTATGTAAGTGCAAAGTAGAGGCCTGTGTGACTTGTATTAAAACATCAAAATGTTGTATTCATAATCTGCACACTACAGGTAAACAAAGGAGAGAACGTAACACAAGTGCGATGTGTTCGACTTATTTCTCCAGAACGGATGACCTACTATGCTGCTGCATTCTCTCTTATTACATATGTTATCACTCACACTCGTGCTTCTCATGTCATTCAGTCTAACTTATATATCGTCGTGTCGAATTTTCATCATTAATACATTTTTGACAGTTTATTTTGCAACAGTTCAAGGCTGTCTGGCAGTCCGCCGTCTTAAGCATTTTTCGAAAACATATCCTCTAGTAGGCTATGACCCAGTTCATGTTTCGGTAGTAGACTCTCTAGTAGGATATGACCCAGCTCATAGTTCGGTAGCAGACTCTCTAGTATGCTATGATCCAGTTCATAGTTCGGTAGCAGACTCTCTAGTAGGCTATGACCCAGAGCATTGTTCGGTAACAGACTTTCTGATTGTCTATGGACTAAGAAGTGATCATGCTACTCCCAGACAGTCTATCGAAAGAGGGGTAATGTATGGGCAAGCCTGTCCAAATGCTAGGATGATGCTGTGACCCTTCAATTCAAATGGCTATTCAACGTCTATTCTATTCAATATTGATATGCATTTACACGACAGAAATGGTCCTGTTTATAGTGGTTTGCACACTCTTCTGGAAAGCAAACACTATAACATGCATCACATTCTAAATCTATAGCGATGCCAACATTGTGATGTTTATCGGGATAACTAGCTTCGGTAAATGTAGGAAGGTCGGAGTTGGAGAAAGTGCCAATCCCCTATTACATTTAATTGTAATGAACAGTTTGTGAGTATGTACAAGCGAGACTGGTAATCTCTATGGGTAGACCCTAATTCACCTTGATAAGTGACCTGCTGGATGAAGATGGTACATTCTTGCGGGCGTTGTTTGGTATGCGCTTCGTCCTTGTACGGAGAACAACATAAATAAAGGTGACTTTAATCAAAACTGAACGGGCTTGGTCAGCTCAACTCCATGTTGATACTGCGCACTCCCATAATTCCTAGCAAATCCCATAAATTGCAGGTTTACGAAATTTTGGTCATTCTTATTCCGTCCACTAACCTGAGAAAATGTCGAACAACCCGACAATGCCATGGCCATGGAACACCAATCCGTCTCTACTGGCTCAGTACCAGACGTCTCCGGTAAGTACATGAACAAGTTGACGTGTTGCTTTGAAGAAACCATACGGACCTGCTATCACGCTTCAGATAGTTTTTCATATGCTGTCACACACACCCATACTGTACAATGTAGTTGTCGTACTCATAGAAAACGATGTAAAAGAGAAACATAGTTGTAAGCAAACATCTATACGATATTTCATCCCCGGAAGTTGATACATATGGATGCATCCTGTTTTGTTCTGGTGGATGTTATTATATTGCTTGGCAATAACTTGACCGGCAGTTAATTTCCATAGATTTGCATTCAAAATTTTGTTGCCTATTTGTTCAATGAAATATCTGTAATGTCACATAGCCATGTGCTTTATCTAAATGTATACAATTCAGCATATTATCGTGTTAAATACTGTACACAAGAAGTCACTCATTGTAATTTTATCAACTAGAAGTGTTTATTGGGTTTATTTCCTATTGTTATTTTTGAGACTGTCGACTGACGTTGCTAAATGTTACCGAAAGTTTTACACATTTCTGTTGGCGCGCTCTCATAAAAAATAACGTCAAACTCTTTTGTAAAATGATTGTCTATGTATTCTCAATATCACCCTTGTTTTATTGATACAATCTATACATTAATATTTGCCATCGAATGGTATTGCCAATATATAACCCTACCAAATCCAGTTGACATTCATATAGGCTATGAATGCCATAGAACGATTTTGACGTCATCATTATTATGGCGTCATAACTGTGTTATGTTTGATATGAATGACCCTCCCAGGGCGACGGCTGTTCTATTAATTGAAAAAAGCCACACACGATACAAATATTATTTGAACTAAATGCTGAATAATAATAATTGTAATTGAATTTTCTATGAGATGAACATTCCAAAAATGTCTCGAAACGCATACCTCATAAACAAATACACTTACTCTTCATCGACATGCGCCCACAAATGTTAACGATCTGTTCACGATCCTCACGCGTACACTATGTAAGATTGGGTGATGTAATTGATGACGTATACTTTAGGTAATCAACAGATGTATTCGATAAACTACTTATATGGTTTGCCACGATATGTTTACAGACGTAAGTAACAAAGATGTAATTCTTTATTTATTTCACGAGGATTACGAACAGCCCAAGGGCTACTAGTCGTTTTCCTCACAACATTTACATTATTAACATACAGTACAAAATATAGGAAATGCATGAACATTTACACTGTTCATTCGCACCACTTCATGACATATACACACCCACACACCACCACACACACACACACACACACACACACTCACACTCACACACACACACACACACACACACTCACACATACACACACACACACACAAACAGACAAGTACACGGAGAACAATAAGAAGGAAGAAAGACAGAAACAGATAGAGAGAGGGAGAGAGAGACAGAGATAGGATGATAGGAAATGACAGACAGGCAGACAGAGAGAGCGAGGGAAAGAGGGGAGGGGGAAGAGACAGGCAGGCAACTGACAGACAGAGAGTCTTCTTGAATCTATTACTTACCTCGATAAATTTAAAGACAGACTGAAAAAATGGGTATTGATCTGTTGTTCAAGACGTCTGTTTACAGACGTAAGTAACAAAGATGTGTACTCAATACAGTTTGGTGGTACATGTCCTGGATAAGTAAAGGTCACTGTTGAGGTTAGCACTGAGTGACAGCGATTAGGCTTGTTATACCGGAATCGTGTTTGGAGCGTGTATGCTCGCATTGACAGCATTCTGTGTGTTGGTGAGCACTGCAGGTGTGTGCATTCCCTTCCTCTCGAAAAATCAGAAGCGTGTATTATACGACCTGAATCCCCAGTAACGTACACAAGGACGGTGCTAGTGAGGGACTTCAAATGACGTATCACTCACGCGCTAACGAGATGACAGAGGATGATAAGCTCTGCAGCAACATCGAACTCTGAAAATAAACCAATATAAACAGTATATATTCTCAAACATCTCTTTGATTTTGTTACCAGTAAAGTAACAACATTGAACCTAGCAGATTGGTGTTTGATTGTCAGTGTTCAGCTGTATAACAATTGGAATAATTAAAACACAATAATATCTTCTTTATAAAATAAATGGCATTCCAATGTTTTGTTACCATAACATTCTTATATATGAAATCGACAGCACTACTGTCGTTTTGTTTGCTAACAACAGCATAGGGTGATGTTACTTATATCGTGGAACGTTATGATGTACATGTATTTTCGAAGTTTATTTTCAATATCTCTGATAAGGAAAAACATTTATTATATAAATATATGTATAGTTGATGGAAATAAATCAAAATACCTCTTTATATCTAATTTGGCGTTTAATTAAGGTTGTATTGCGGAAACACTTAAAACAATTATAACGTGCCAAAAAAAACCAATCTAGGGAGAACGATACAAATGATTACACGGAAGATAAAAAAAAACCTTGGTAGAGTTTTATTCATTTCTGATGACCATGAACCTAAAATCAGAAATCTATCTAAAACACAAAGTACAATGTAACAGTAATTTTATTTAATCTCCAACAACTGTAAGATATCAGTTAATATACAGTATCTTATATATAAGTACATGTACCAAAACAGTACGTTTAACAAAGTCAGCACAAAATATTCAAAAATTAACTATTTCCAACGCTGACGTCCTTTGGCGGACTTCCCTTGCGCCAAACGTCATGACGTAAAAAGCTTGTGTAGGCTGTCTCTCCCGAGGAACACAGGGTTTTCTCCCCCGTTAGACAGAGATATCCACACTTCCTGTCATAGAAAAAGACACCCCTGTCTTACCCTAGGGATAATACAGGTGGATTCCCCTGTCATAACAATTACGTGACGTCATGATAATACATCATTGACGTCTCTTCAACAATAGTAGGTTAATGAAGATAACTCCAATTTGCTTGAAATTATGAAATAAAAGTTTGAATTTCATGAAACTACACATGTACTTGGTTAGGGAGAAAAATACATTCCCGACCTTATGTGATAGATAAATCTCAACTATCGGGTCAAGATTCGTGAATATCCTGCCCTGTCTTTTCCCCAAGGTGGGGAAGATGCTATTAATCTTTTCAAGGATGAATTCCCGTCTTTCACGGGAAATTATTGAAGAACAAAACTGTGTTCACTTATGATGACCACACCCAGTGTGTGGCCTGTGGTATTGGTAGCTTCTGTATGATTCTGTATCACAGTAATCAAGTACTACTGTAGCTAGGAGAACTGACAAAATTAATATTTGTTAGATACCCAGTGGATATAAAGGTCACCGTAATCTCGTATGGTGTCATCTTTGTCAACTCAATAAGTAAACCACTCAATAACTAAAAAACAAAATGTCAATGGCTACACTTCTGAGTTAACCACTTTATATTGTTAAGAATGTTTCAGAAAAAAAAAATCCTCTTGTCGACTAAATGAACAGTGTAGTCTTTGGGATTATACACTAAAATCTAAAACTTTCTTTTACATCTCAAATGTGGCTGCAATATGCAGGAAACGTCATTTGTTTATATAAAAAGATAAATATCAGCAGATGCATAAAACAAACCTGACCTCGAGTATATCATTATAATTATATCAACTATTATTTCTAAGTTCTTATTTAACTGCATAAACATGGAATATAAAAGAAATATATAAAACTGAAAAGTACCGGAAACGGAAGGCTATATCATACCACCAACTGCTCACCTAGATCACCCTATCTCTTGTCTCAATAACTTGAATGCCATTGGTGGATTATCACTGATGGGTAAGATATCAAGTCTTGGCGGAGTATATACACCTTTATAGAACAATATCTATGTTAGAGGTTGCTTCAGTAGCTGAAAACATGTTCAAACAAGCATAATTATGGGGCTGGTTTTTAGATCAAGAAGAGGAAAACGTGCTGGAAACTGTCACTTGCGCGCCTTCTGTTCTGTCATAGACATGACATCCTTAACACCCTCTACTTTCCTTTGTGGTCTGTCTTAAACCTCTACTTTCTAGTCACTGAGCTACTTTTGATTACCAAAATATCAGAATGAAGTATGTATTGAACATGATTATGCATAAATGTCTATGAATGCTAGCTGACGCAGTTAACCCCACACGAAATCATGTCAATTATTTGGAATTAAGTATTAAAAAGATGAAATATTATATCATCTAAACACATCAAAGGCCCTTGGGAATGTGAATTAAAAAAGATTCTGAGCAGCACCCTAGCGCTTATAACCAGGTTTTAATTTATCGATTAGTATTGATTTTTTTACCCTCTTTGGACAGTATCCTTTGTAGCCATATACATATAGGAACGTTTAACATCTAAGACGGCAACATTTTTCTTTTATTTGTGAAGCGTCATGCATTGTCGTCATATACAGCCAATTTGACTAATGTAAAATTCAGAACAATCAGCACAGATCAATGCATAAATAACAATGTTTTAGCTTTAAATTTTAGTCCACATTTAGTGTAAAATATTTGCTTTCTAAAAGAAAACTGAATATTGATACACCAGGCCCCTTTATTAAACCTTACCCAGCCCTCCGCCTACCAATTTTAGCTTTTGATTACATTACCAGGATTGTCCATTGACCGGGCCGACGGTAAATATCAACACGTGCCTGGACCTAATTTGTGTAACGTAAACCATAATTCACGTGTGTACTTCCCATCACACTTACAACACACGCGCAGACAAAACATCTCGTCTGCATCTTGTTAGCTCTAATTCATCTACACCAGGACTAAACTAAATATATAGTGATTGTCTGTCTTTGCTCTCTCACTCCAGGATCTGCGGACTTATCTAGTCATCCATCGGCTAGCATCCCCCCTGGCTACGTAACCCTGATCCATTTATCTTCTCGTTTTTGACTAACAATGTTCTCATAGTCCCCGCGATAACTGGATTATGTCTCCGGTACATGGACCACCAGTCCGATACTATCGGGACTCGGGGACAGCGTGCTGGTCAAACCGCCCTACTTGGCTATGCTGTAACAAATCCTGACTTTACGCCCTACCGTCCGTGTACTACATGTACTATATTACGTTCACAGTCGGTCCGCGGTGGACGCGATTGATGTGTGATTGATGACTATTGATAACGCACTACATTTCTTGTTATTCTGGATTAATAAGAATGGGTAAATATTATACAAACATTATGATATGTAAGGCAATCCCGTCTCAATTAGCTATAGCTGCGTCAGAGTCATGCGATTACTATGCGTGAATACGAGACGAGTCTACTTCCGAAAATGTTACCTGATAATAACATGATGACTTACGTGTGTACGGAAATAATAGGACGTAAGAAGGGTTCGTTGTATGTGAATGCGATGTGCTGCTGAGGGCAACACACTAAAATGTGAAGTATTATTAGGGGGTTATAGGAAAACTTCATCCAAAGGAAACTTTATTTCTCTAAACATTTTGATATTTCTCTCAACATTTTGATATTTCACTTTCTGTTGAATTACTGAAATCAAAAATAAATTACTTCAAAGATATTTGTATAAAAATGTTATGCCATCCAGTTAATTTTGCTGACCTAATTTATGAATACATGTAGTACACAGTATAGGGTAAAAGCCCGAGTTGTTCCTGAATGGCACCGGCGTGTAACGCCCACGGCAGCTTCCGTAACTTTGTCACGGAAATGACTAAGTCAATCAGGAGAGAAGTGGGCGGAGCTTGTATTGACTTGACCCCACCCAGTTGTTGTCGGTCTTGAGAGCAGATATATGTCACTTTCGATAGGTTCTGAAAATTTCGCTTGGAATATTACTTTTAAAAATACCCATGTGTTATTCATCGGTTTAATAAAAAAGTGAAGTCATGGGGTTTCGGGATATAGCAAGTGTTTGGTTAATCCGGCCAATTTCCTTGGTTTCTCCAAGGAAGAAAACACATGACCTTCGGATTTCAAAACAGTTGTCATGCCCTTTACGCTCATACTTAATATTTTGAAAAGATTGAATTCCTTAACAGAACGAAACTCATTCTAGAAGTAGGTAATTCCATTTTTATTTTTTCCCCTTTTTTGTCCAATTCTTTTTGTTCTAATTAATGATTTTAAAAATAATGTCGAAGTTGAATGATAAAATGAAAGAAATGATTACTACAGTAACCCTGTCCAAAGCTATGGTAACTTATGCAGTTATCTAATTAAAAAGTGAATTATTATACTGTAACATTTTTGTGGTAGGACCACGGAGGATATTCGTTAAACAGTTATAGAAAGTATAAGATTGTAATTACACAGTTTTATCAAGGCTTTTTCAAAAAACTGCGATGGCTCAAGTCGTGCCTTACAATGCTAGGTTTTGTATGCGGTAAGGCGTACATATCACACGTACAGAACATTTTTGTTCCAGCCTAAGGGCTCCCGTTCACGTCCAGGGTAGTTAGTATTACAGCACCACAATCGTGTTCAACTAACTCAGTACAAAGTCCCATTTATTTCTCTTGACATGCATGTTTGTAAATAGCTTGCAGTATGTGTTTGTACCTTTTCTCGCATCACTGATGTCCAATAACACCGAACCACGGATCCGCTTGAAAAAGTAGTTCCTCAAAGAAAACACATAACAAGCTTTCAATAGACCCTGATATGTTTTAAGTTAAGGGTTAAAGTTTGTAGTGGTCGTGCAAATTATTTGCCAGCACTGGAGTGGGAGAAGCATTTGAAGATTCGCCCATCTTGATTTATCTAACGCAAGCAAAATTTGGTACAAGGTATCCATGGCAACATGAAGGATGAGTCGATCGGTGGGGATGGTAAAGAAGTGCCCGGGAGCTCGCCACTGAGTAGGGATAGGTGAAGGTACTGGCAGTGACACCGTGCGGGGGGCGACATAGGCGAACACCGAGTAGGATCTGGCCAGTAACAACTGATAAGACATACATTGCCATCATTA